TTTTTCAGTCATTTTGTATTACAAATGGGAAATTGATAATGGCAGTTTGATCATCTGATTACCAATTTCCCGTTTGTAATAGAAAATGACTGAAAAACGGCAAACTTCGCAAGGCTATATTATCCGCATTTTACAACATTTCGCAACGAAACTTCGGAATATTACTAATTTTGTGATGCTCTTTCAAGCTGTGATGAAATTTTTGTCCAGACTTGTCTAGATCAAAATTTCACTCATAAGGGAAAAGGTCTATTCAGACAGGACTAGATTTCAATCAAGTCCTCGCATTTTGATCCAGTCCACGATCAAGTCTAGTCCACTAGTTCTCATAGTCGGACTTGAAATATTACATCAGTTTGCTCAATCAGACATTTCTTACAATTCCTCCAAGTTGACCATCATCGGTGCTCTGTTACGTTAATTCCAGGAATGCAAAATCTTACTAGTTCAACACACCATGCCAGAGCAATGGCTGAGGAATATTCATCATCTGTGGGCGTCCTGTCTCCGAGAAGAAGACGCCATGTTGCCAGAACTGTCATCCCGCGATTCATTTTACCTACGGGAATCCAATCAAACATACGTTATAGCAGAATAACTGAATAAGGCTACGTTTCCACTATACCTGATAGCCTACTGATAGCTTTCCGTACTCCGTAGCGGCGCGAAAAAGAGTCTATCCGATACGGAATGCACAACTTTTAGAAGCTGAGCGAAACAACATCTCTCTGTTGCAACAATTCCTCTGAAAATAGCGTTCATAAAAGGTACGGAAGGTGTTTTTTCACATCACTACGGAAAGCTGAGTATCTTGTACAGTGTAAATGTGGCCTAATTAAACTTTACTGTACATCCAGGGTGCGATAATTCGCGTATTTTGATCTCTTTGTGTTTACAAGGAAAGACGGAAACATACCTCCTGGCACATTGTACATGAGAGACTAAAATACAAAGAAAAAAACGCATTAATAATTCATGAGGAAAAGTCAAAGGAAATCACTGCCGTGTCAGTGGTTTTATATGTGATAAAAAATCATGTTCATTTACATAAACTTTAGCTTCGATTTTCACGGCTTAGACAACTTTTATTTTTAAAATTACTTCGCCAATGAACTCATAAGATGGGTCGTTTTTTAAGCCATTTAAAGCACTTGTAGTCCGTGCCTCATCAGATATAAGACACTCTAACATACATTATATATACTGAAAAGTAAAATACTGCTTATTTTTTTTATCAATTCCTACCATAGTCTGGTTAATGAAACCAGGAGTTCATGGTTAAAATGTTTTGAGTAGCAAAGTTTAGTTAAGTCTCCTACAAATTAGGTGACCACATCCATTTAAGAAAGCTTGAAACTGGTTTCGTAAACCATATGCAGACACAAGACTTTGCTATACTTCGATTTTCTTAGTAAATGTTTATAGGCTAGCAAAAAATATCCCATACAAAGGATATGTATTTCAAGGCAGCCATCTACAAGCTATATGCACCGGAATCGCAGGTTTGATTCCGGCCAGGGGCCTATATTTGCATTTTCCACAACTACTCCTGGTTAGATGTAAAAAATGTATGAAACTCAAAATTTTCCATGTACAAAATCCTTCCACAAACTGAAAACTAGTCCGTTCAACAGGGTTTGTAGTCTCCAAGACCAAAAAATTTCAGAGACTTTCAAAGATTTTTTCTACCTATTGTCAAAGACTTTTCAAAGACCTTTGAGAGCAATCAGGTGTCAAAAAATTGTGATGTATAAGGACCATTTTTACCAGGTAATTAGTCCCGTCAAATCACATCCTAAAATGCACTTTTTCGTCGATATTTGCGAAAATCTTGCTTCAATCAATCTATTTTATTGCCTAGGAAATCGTATAATCAAATAATCACTAAAGAATTTAAAGATTTTGAAAGACTTTCAAAGACTTTTCAAAGACCTTAAAGACCTACATTCAAATTTAAAGACTTTCAAGGAAAGACTTTCAAATTTAAAGACTCACAGAAAGTAGTATCTTAATGCATACAGTACCTGTCGATAATGTTCAATCGCATCTTTGGTTTGCTCACAATGAGGGCCGATGACTTGATCGATTATTTTCGGCAATGATTCTTCAAATTTTTTTCTATCACACGCCAACTGAGCTTTTCTTGAAGTGACATCCATGTTTGAAGTGAAGTTCAAACCTACAAAATGTTGAACTTAATGTCCATCAAGTGAAGGCCAAACAAACAATGGGATTTCTCCTTGCCTGTGACCTTGCTAGGCAAATTATAACAAAAACACTTGTGTTGGAAATTTGTGCCTTAGGCTAGTTTTACTGGTTAGCGCCAGTAGAGTAGGTTGCATAGCCAGCCCAACGATTTAGTCCCACAATGCAAATATTTTCGTCGGTTCATTAAAGAAATGAATAATGATAATAATTTTGAATTTGCATAGCGGGACTAAATTGTCGGGCTGGCTACGCCACTGGTTAGTACAATCTACATCACCATCATCCACCTTATCACAACCCGCACACCTGATCACCTATACAGGGTGTATCAAAAAAAGGTAATCGAACTTCAGCGTGCTATTGTATCCGAATTACTCTGTGTATGAACACATTCGGAAAGATCATGCTTTTAGCTGTTGAATGATATCTTCTTCATGCCAAATGGATAAAAAATGAGCAAATACGAATCCGATAAAAAATGTTAGTCAGAATCGCATATTTTCACCGTTGAGAGTTGGGTCTAAAACCATTGAAAATGAACTCCCTTTGGTACTTAAGTTGATGAATTTCACTTCATTAAACTACACACGTATTCATAATTATTATTAACTAGGAATAGATCTTAGCTAAGCTACGACACGTTAGTGATTAATTGCTTTTTCTTTTGTTATGCATTGTTTTAATTAGGCACGGAGGTGAAAATATAAGATTTTGACTGTACATCTTTTGGCTATGAAGATGCTTTGATAGATAATAACAAACTCTCCCCTTGACGAGTAAAATCATCTGGCGTTAGACAAAGTGAAATAATAAATTAGTAGCAAATTGCACAATACAATACACGATTTTCTATAAACTTTATACGACTTACCTGCAGTGAAGAATGGCTTAGTTGCACTGAAATACGTCCTTCCTTGCCTCAAATAAGGCAAAAACAATCTCATTTACTTCAAACCATGCTATCTGCTTGTCATTTTAGTCTAAGAAATACTGTTTACAGTCTTCTAAATTTGTGCGTAAAAATACGGCTCAGTATTGCACTAAAATAAGATCGAAACTTCGTAGGACGAGATCAATGCTTTATTGTATGCAAAAGTTTTAAAATAAATGAAATCCAAGCCTTTCAAATTATATAACTTCTCAATATTTTACTTCCATCGAGTGATGAGTGATGACTACAGGAAGTTAGGAACTCGGTATTTTCTTCCCACCGGAGACAAGGTCCCGGAATAAGAACCCCGTATTGAGGTGAAAATTCTATGGCGTGCCAAGATGGACAATATTACTTTGTGTCCATTTATATAATGTATATTTCAAATATGTAATTTCAAATCTATATTTGTAAGCCGAAATTGCCATATATAAAACGAAACAGAAATATATACATCGAAACAGAAATATATGAAATGAAACACTCATATATAGATCGAAACACCCATATATAAAACGACATTAGTTTATATATAAAACGAAATATTGCCAAATATATAAAACGAAATTTTCCCAAATATATGAAACGAAATTCCTCAAATATATAAAACGAAATTCCTCAAATATATAAAACGAAATTCCTCAAATATATAAAACGAAACTCTTCAAATATATAAAACGAAATTCCTCAAATATATAAAACGACATTTTACTAAAATAAAACGACATTTTTGGCGGAGAAAGAGCGCGACTTATTTATCCGGAGTAAATTTTCTGTAAACCACGCTTATGCAAATATGGCGGGCAACAGAAATCTGCAAAGTTTGTCAAATCTTGTCAAAGCAATTTCTCGATTGAGTCAGAATAGCACAGAGACCCGTAATAGTGGGGAGACGCAAGAAACAACAGACGACGTGGAAGCAACGATACGAACTCTCTTTCCTTCAACGAATGGTCAGACAGAAGCGGACCGAAATGAAACTCGTGTGGTTGCGGAACATGGCGCGCTGAATACGCCTGATCGTCGGTACCCCGAAAACGCAGAAAGATTCGTGCCTAATCGCAAATATGGTACCAAGAAACGGCCGAGAAACGTGAAAAATTCGACCAGCAAAAAGCCCAAGTGCAATGAACAGCGGACAGTACTAAAAGACGTAATTCTTTTACATGGTCCAAAGCAAGACAAAGTCCCTCGTGGCATATCACGAGAAGCACTGTTTGCCCTTGGTTTTACCACGACGCTTGAACTGAGCATTAGTATGCAAGAAAGTGAGATAAGGAGTCTACTGGAAGAAAAATTTAAAAACAAACTTGAATCGATTTCCAGAAAAGGCAACAAGTTTCAATTCGTAAGAGCTATAAACAGCAAAATCATCTCTCTTGAAAATACTAATCAACAAGAGTGCCAGGCGCCATGTGACGGGAGACTTCTAAAACACATTTCCGGTCAAGGGCCATTGTACATTCGGGCAAATGAAGATATTGGTGCACCTCTACAGGCATACAATTCCAAACAAAAGAGACATGATAAAGATGACAACACAGATGATGAGATGGAGTCGGAGAGTAGCACTGGAGACGAGGAAGCAATTATGCGAAATACAATGTACAAGCCTTGCCCAACCCCCATTGTAAGAGTAGACCTAAGTATTTTGGATGATGCCGCTGCACCTGACGAAGACAGTGTTCCAAACTGTGACCCATTGCCTGCCACAGGTGAATCATCAACTTCAGTGCCTTCAACATCTACAGCCCTTGCACCAGAACAGCTCATACGCGTACGATGCCCGACATGCGAGGGAAGTTTTTCCAGCCATGAAATCGAGGACCATGCTGATGTATGTGCTGAAGCTGCCTGGACTGGTTCAGAACACCTAGTATATGCTAGATTGATGGCAGACATCGAGAATGATGACCAAGATCCCTTGGAAAACCAATCAGCTGCAGAGGAGAACAATTCAGACCCTATTGATCAGCAGGATAATCGGGACCATACAACTAATGATGGAAGTCAAGCAGAGATCAAGGCTGAATTGATTGGTACCTTGCAGACATTGCAAACAAACCTCAACACACGTACCAATAGGATCAATGTCCAGAGAACAAGTGTCCTTGATGATTACATTGATGCACGCAAACGATTCCATTGGATGCATCCTGAAAACAGAATCAAGGTTGTTTTTATTGGAGAACCAGCAATTGATACTGGCGGGCCAAAACGTGAATTTTGTTCTGGTAAGTAGATTTTACAATTTTACAAAAACCACATTTTAATATCCAAATCAATTTGGATTTGTTAAACGTGGGAGATTTTCATTTTTGTAAAGCAAAAGGTTCTGGCATGTGAATGGTATGATATGTAAAAGTATGCAAATATTTAAGCATTGCCACAGTGGCAGACACTTTATGAAATACTGGGGGGGGTTCATGCCGAAGCCACGGAAAAATTTTTAAATTTGGATCCCGGAAATGGCATTTCCAGTATTCTCAGAGTACAGAAACATATATTATTATATTGTTTGGTATATTGCTTGCTTTTTTAGCTTAATTAAGTTTTATCAAATAATTATTATAATAATAATTTAATATGACGATTTTGTTATATGAGTGTGAGTTGTGTTATTTGGTATACGATTTTTACAGTCTCAAAATTATTGAGGGGGGGGGGCATGTTCACCAAATGCATGTTCACCAAACCCCCCATGTTCCCATATTCGCCAAATGCAAAATATGTTTTTGTTTTCAAATCTGAAAAGTCCTGTCATATTAATGCTGAGTCCTGTGTGATGACTGGTGTGTAGCCCATGTGTTTACCCTTAATATGAAATACAATTTTATCTTTATTAGATGTTCTTGGTCAGGTACGGGATCGACTATTTGACCGGAATGGAATGCCAGTTACAAGCACTCTGGCATTGACACAGGACCTCTTTAAATATGCAGGTGAATTGATGGCAATATCAATTATCCAAGGTGGGCCTGCACCAAACTTCTTGTCACCTGCCATATATGATGTAATTGCTAAAGGTCTGTCAAAAGCTGTGTATTCTCTGGAGATGATTGAGGAACCAAATTTGAAAGAAATTGCAACCCAGGTACATTCGAGGTGATCTCGTGTTCGTATTTTAGCCAATCAGCGCTCAGAAAGGGTTGTCCGGATAGAAATCCATTTTGATGTATTCAGTCAATTATATCTTTCGTTATTTTTTATGAAACTAGTTGAAATTTCGTAATTATGTTTGGTTATGAGAACTATAGCTCTGACAAAAATGTGGAATCGAAATACACTATATTACAGGAGATATTCAGTTGTTTCAATCATAAAATGGATTTCTATTTGACAACTAGTGCCAGTACTTTTCCGCGTATCAAAATCATCTGGTTGACTGATTAAAATGAAAGTTATGATTTCTGATATGTTTTGTTCAACTATTTGTTCTAGCCAATTGACCTAGGGCTATTTACCAGGGCCCTCGAAAAGAATGAATTATTTTATATATATGAAGACCTGTGATTGGTCAATGGCATGTGGGCATATTATAATACATCAAGAGTCAAGACTCTTATGGCTTGTGTAATGTTGAGGTTTTGGGAATTTATATCATAATAAATAATGAAATTGTATTTAGTCATGGTGATTGGGTTTTCTAAACAATTGAGTTACCAAAATTACTGTACATGTTTATAGATTGATTCTGTGGATACAGATGCTGATCTACAATCTAAACTCATGGAGGATAATGTTCTTTTTGTGCTTGACCAAGTTGGCTATAGAGGGATCCCCAACAGAGAGACTCTTGGATCAAAGGATAAAATAGTCAGGTATTATCACACATCTTTCAGTACCAGTATATATACCAGGTAATCATGCAATGAGGACTACATTTAAGGATTAATTAACAGTGCAAATTATGTTTGAAGATATTGCCAAAATTGGACGAGCTGCCTAGGTGATATATCTTTATATTTCTTTGTTATAAAAAATAAAACATTCTCCCTGTTGATATACAGTTATACAGTCATTTTCAATTTCCACTCATGTTGACATAAGTGATAACTGTATATTAACACGGAAAACTTTTATTTTATCGTGTTGACATAAGTGATAACTGTATATTAATTAACACGGAAAACTTTTATATTTGTTAAATACTGTATGGTGAATTGTGGTCACATGATGTCAAAATAACCAAGTACACATGTAAAACCAGGGGTGGATTTACCAGGGGCTGGCAAGGGTGTACACCCCTGTTGGCCTTGGTCAATTGTAGTCAGAAAATTTAGAAGTGAGACAGGTAAAATAAGGTTACCCTATCTTGGTTATGTGGACACTTTTCAAAGGTGTGCTTTATGGAAGTCATTGAGTTGGTGCCACACAACTCCCTGCTCATACTTCTAGCTACTTTCGTTTGAAAGGGGATGCAAAAAACTAAGTTTATATTATTTTAAAATAATTTATACATAAAGACCCCAGAATCCCAAAATATCGTGACCCCTCCCCCCCCCCCAAACCAATTTAGAGTAGCATCATTGATGTTCAGTTTAGTGAACTTTTTGTCCCCACAACACACTATCCTGCCTTTACTCTCACCTACCAAATAAAAACTATAGTCCTGCTTGGTGTGCTCTCTCACAACACACAGAAGTCAATCAACCCCCCCCCCAAACAAAATATAGCTGGACCACCCCTGTGTAAAACAACTTTCCTGGTAAAAAATTACAGTATATACTCATTCTTCCTGCAGGTCAATAATAATCAAATCACAAATTGAACCAAAGTTGGGCATGATAAAGCAGCTAGAAGAGGGCCTGTCTGTCTGCAAACTATTGGATGCCATTCGTGCAAGACCAGCCTTATTCAGGTCTGTTTTTGTGTCTGGTTGCATTTTTGATCAGGATGCAGACGAATTCCTGGATGGGTTGAACGTCACCTTTAGTGAGCACCAGAAGGAACGGATTGTTGAAGCAACTGTTTACAAACATTTTTGCGATTTTGTACTGTTTCTTCATAATGATGGTTAGTACTTGATGGTTCTCATGCCTGGTTCTGCGCATACCACACCATTCCCCAATTAACCAAGATTTTGAACTCAACAAGTCTGGTCAAAAATTTCAGCACAGCTTGAAAGAGCATCACAAAATTAGTAATATTCCAAAGTTTCGTTGCAAAATGTTGTAAAATGCCAATATAGCCTTGCGAAATTTGCAATTTTCAGTCATTTTGGATTACAAACGGGAAATGGTTACCACTTCTGTGCGTAATACAAAATGACTGAAAATTACAAACTTCGCAAGGCTATATTATCAGCATTTTACAACATTTCGCAGCAAAACTTTGGAATATTACCAAGTCTGTGATGCTCTTTCAAGCTGTGATGAAATTTTGTTTAGGCTAGTTAAGATCAAAATTTTGTTAAAGTGGTAACCGTTTCCCGTTTGTAATCTAAAATGACTGAAAATTGCAAATTTCTCAAGGCTACATTATCCGCATTTTACAACATTTCGCAACGAAACTCTGGAATATTTCTAATTTTGTGATGCTCTTTCATGCTATGATGGAATTTTGTCTAGACTTGTTGAGATCAAAATTTTGGTTAATTGGGGAATAGTCCATTAGTTGAGCTAAAACAATATTTGCAAAAATGTGGCAATTTATATTACTGATATTTTGCACATTGATTGGAATTATCACATATAATTTTCACCTTCTGGGCCAAATTTCACATTGGACACTGTTAATTCAAACTCTGGCACAAATTGCATTGCAGGTTGTAGCAAAAATGCCTTGTGTTTTTTTCTCATTATTTAAAATTTTGTATCATGAAACTGGAAATATTTTTCAGCTTTTTAATTTCAAATTCCATTTAAAAGTTGTATTTCTGGCATGATAGGCATACAAAAACACAAAGGTCTTTTGGATTTTCAATGCTGGCATGGATGATTTGCTCAAAATAGGTTTATGATATCACATTTCTACTGTACATCAAGCTATATCTACTGTACTTTCAGGGATAGAAGGCCATGATTTGAAGTTGCGGCATCTTTTACGTTTTGTAACTGGATGCTATTCATTGCCTCCACTTGGTCTTCCTGATTCTATAAAGGTCAAATTCCTGCATGGTTGTCACAATGGCTGCAAGTGTCGTCCAACAGTGTCAACATGCCAATTATTCATCAGGCTTCCAGTTCATGCAGCTACATTTCAGGAAATGAAAGAGTTGATGGTATCTGCCTTGCTGGAGGGTTTTGGGTTTGGTAACCTGTAAATTGCTGTATGAACACATTGCTTGTTATTAACGTACATTGTATGAATGGAAAAGCAAAAACAACCATATGTATTTTCTACATTATTGTTATAATAACCTATTTACAATATATATATACATACATTCTGTTTGAGTGACAGTAAAGACTTAAAGACTTGGAATTTGTGTTATCCATGCACATAGTACTAAATGTACTTGGGAAATTAGATGTGTAATTTACAAATTACGTATTGAGGTGAACAAAATGATCAACTACAGTAATTAAAGATGCTGTAAAGTCCATTCTGTGCAGGCCTACATTCCAATGGTTGGGACCCGACCATTGGAATGTTATTAATATTTCGCACCTTCCAAACTTTCTTGAATTGAATCTCTAGTCTGTATTCATGTACAAGCATAGCGAACCAGAAGAGTGTTAACAATTCAGTACAATATATATCTAATCATATTTTACAACTGTAGCACTGAGTTCAAAATGTAAACAAAGTGTTTGTTTACATTAAAGACTTTACAGCATCTTTAATTATCTACAGTACTATTATTTATTATGATACTCATTCAATTCTTGGACAGTGAATGAACTTTAGTTCCTTGCACCCACTTTTAAAATTGTACAACCTGCACTAAAATTCAAGTGTCAGTTTTTTCACCATTGTGACATTGTCTGATTTGTTGTTTCAATTACTAGGTTTTTTATCCCTATTTATAATATATTGTTCAGTCGGGCATCAAGGATCATTTCAAGTGCTTCACATGCGTTCACAAAGAGATGTTTACCGTGTTCGTTATCTTCATCTAACGGATTCACTAACAATACTAATATGGCCATCTCCTCATCTTCAAGAACGATATTTGATTCAGGTATCTCCACATGATTCACTGTTCGAATTTCAGGCATTGGACCATCATCATCAATACCATAGGAATCCACATCCAGTGTTTCTGGGTTTACAACATCTCTCACTGTTTCATAATTAGAGTTGGCAAATTCATAAAAACCCTGCACCCATACTTGATAGGGACTCCTATTTCCTTCAGTTGAAAGAGGATGATTGTTCCATTGTGTTGCAAATAATGTGAGTGCCCTGTTAATTCGAGGTTTAAAAACATAATGAAGGGCAAATAGGTGGACTTCGATCAATGGATCCAGTAAATCGAGTGATTCCAGATAAAAGAAGAGATTACGGAAATAACTGATGACATATGTGTTGACGTCTCTCCACAATCGTTCAATCCTTTGATTATGGACAGAAAGGCCAGTTAAAATTGGTTTTGAAGCGGGTCCAAAATGCTGCAGCATCCACCTGGCAACACCAACATTTTCTGTCCCATGATCACTCCGAATTCGACGGGGACATTTGTATGTGGACATGCTATTGAGAAACAATTGAAATACTGTCTGACTTCGGTTGTCACAAGCACAGCCAAGATAAACAACAGCTCTTGAAAACCCATCAATTCCTCCATGAACTACAAATCTCCATCGGATCATCTTGTGATTACCATCTATGTGCCTGAAATTTTAAAATACTAATATTCATATTACAATTACATCATGCTTGATGCCTTACAACACCCAATTTTGGCTCTTTACAATAGTGTCTACCATATTAACATACTACAATGCATTACTACAATGCAATGTGACCCTCAAATCTTGGAAGAGAAATAGTGTATTGGTCCCTCCCCCATTAAATCCATCATTATGCACCTATCAATGTTGACCCCCAGAGGGGGGGGGGGGTCGGGCATATGTGGGGTATTTGATCTTGATCATCAATTGCATCCCCACCCTGGGGATTTTGATTAGCATTTTGGCCCGAGTTGGGGCAATTTGAACCAAATGGCTTTTATTAACATAGTATTTATTGCAATTTATTGCAAAATGGTGGGGCATTTGACCAATATTTATTGCCCGACAGTGGGGCATTCGATTGAAAATTTGCTCAAAAAATCAAATGCCCCACCTATGCCCGACCCCCCCCCCACCTCAGGTCTTTTCCAAAAAATATAAGATCATGACATGAGATACCAATAACATGCATAGTTGCCATGATTCATTGCTTTGGGTTGCATCAGTTGCAGCTATTAAAATATATAAACACAAAAATTCATACCATAATGCATTAGGTGTTCTGACACTGTATACTCTCCGATGGATGGCAGTTCTTCTACGTAATTCCCTGCTAACAGGATCTATTCTTCGGATAGATTGTCGTACTCTCTCTCTTTGTACTTTAACACCATACCCCTTTAATGCTCCTATGACCATTCTTTCACCAGAGTTTGGAGAATAGTGTAAGATGCGTTGGACAAATGCGTCTAGCTCATCATCATCTATTTCACTATAGTTTAATACCTGACCTAATGTCATTCCAAGTTCACTCCGGCGTCTACGTACTGTTCTCTCTGAAACACCAAGCATCAGGGCTATCTTTTGCCAGGAAAAATGCAGTGAACGTAAACCTTCAAGTTGCTGCTTTGGGATGAGAAATCGAGGTCGACCTGCACGTCTTCTAACGTTCTCTTCAAGCGGGCAAGCATAGTTACAGTCGTCATTATCATCGAAGAAGTTAAATCGCTCAATAAGTCTCGAAATACGTTCTTGAAATTCTCCAATAACTTCTTGAAAAATTAGACAAACGTCCTCCGGCCATGGCACAGCATGATAGAACAAAGATAAACCGCAAACGAATTCCTCACATCTAATAACTACTAACTCAGCAACAGCAGCATCATTAGTAAATGAATTACGTATCAGTTCTTCATAAAGGTTAAAACCATGTCTTAAATATTCGATAACATCTTCTCTCGCAGCTAGTTCTTCACGTTCCGCCATGTTTCTACGATTTTTGGCGCGACATTTACTTCCATTTCCGTATATCGCTCTTTCTCCGCCAAAAATGTCGTTTTATTTTAGTAAAATGTCGTTTTATATATTTGAGGAATTTCGTTTTATATATTTGAAGAGTTTCGTTTTATATATTTGAGGAATTTCGTTTTATATATTTGAGGAATTTCGTTTTATATATTTGAGGAGTTTTGTTTTATATATTTGAGGAATTTCGTTTCATATATTTGGGAAAATTTCGTTTTATATATTTGGCAATATTTCGTTTTATATATAAACTAATGTCGTTTTATATATGGGTGTTTCGATCTATATATGAGTGTTTCATTTCATATATTTCTGTTTCGATGTATATATTTCTGTTTCGTTTTATATATGGCAATTTCGGCTTACAAATATAGATTTGAAATTACATATTTGAAATATACATTATATAAATGGACACAAAGTAATATTGTCCATCTTGGCACGCCATAAAATTCCAAGTTTTTTTTTAGAAATATATAACTTTTTTGGTAATACATCTTCGTTTTTCAACAAACTTTTGGTTTTCAAGTGTTCAAATCATAGCAATATGTAATGAAGTTCTTCTCCAGTTCATGATAGATTAAAAAAACACAACCTACTTTGACTAACAATGTTTTTCCAAACATTTTTTTTTTATTAATTTACATCATTTTCAACTAATTTAATTAAAAACCTTTTATATTACAGCGAACAAAGCCGATCACAGTAGAGATTGATTAATAGCTGAACAGCAATTACATTGTGAAATTTTACAACTTTGCACTATAAATTCTCAAATATATTCACGGAATCCGTATAATCTTCTCTTCTGCGTTCGTTTCACAAACTGTAGGTCGCTGACATGTGTAAAAATTCTGCATTGCAATCAATACCCACAGCAAACGTGCAGCGGAGATAGCTTTCCGTAGTGACGTGAAAAACACCTAAGGGACCGGTCATAAAGTAACTGCTAGGGCGGGCTGGAGTGATTTGGGATGGGCCATGGAAAATCTTTGCCCGGCAGTTTCGATTTTTTTTTATGTCAATTTTTTTGTATGTCCACGGTTGGGCCACCAAACAAAAACTCATGCATCTCTACTTCAAAAATAAAGATATTAATAATAAAAGTATAAACAAAACTATCCAAATTATCAAATGCAAATGATGCTATTGAAGCCAGTACTTTGTTTATACAACAACAAGAACTGGTCGAATCACAGCAAATACAACCAACTGGAGAGCAGCTCAGTATCGTAATTGGTGATGATTGTGTTGGTCAAGCTTGGTGGAATTATGTATGTCAATACAGTGCCGGTGTATATTTACAATGTTCATACCTGCAAGTTTTTTTTATTATAAAAGTGTATATTTTCCCAATTTAAATTGGGTGGGTCATGAAAATTTTTTTGTAAGATTAGATGGGCTTTGAAATTTTTATCTTCATCCTAAGATGGGTCACCAAACTTATTGGCAAAATTTGTGATTTACCTCCAGCCCACCCTAGCAGTTACTTTATGACCAGTCCCTAATCACCTATCCGTACAGGTTTTAGGAACGCTATTTTCATAGGAATTATTGCCAAGGAGAGATGTTGTTTCGCTCAGCTTCTGAAAGTTGTACATTCCGTATCGGATAGGTGCTTTTTCGCGCCGCTACGGAGCCGGAGGGCTATTCTGTATAGTGTAACGTAGTCTAGGTAAAACAGTAGTGTCTGGTGGACTCAGTCCGTTTAATTCAATTTCTGGAAAGCATTAACGCACTATATTCTTCAGATTCCAAAATAGTTTTATATGTGCTTTTAAAGTGCATCAATGGCTGCCCAAAGGCACATTCTGATCTTCATTTTCATTGAAATTTTTTGTTATGGTTATGTGCATAATATAATCACACCATGGCCATTTCTGGTTCGTAAGTGTGTGGCGTAAATTTCAGCGAACGAGCTGTCTGTCTGTAAACGAATTGTCTTGCTTGTTCCGTCAAATATTTCTGATCTTCCGTCTGACCACACGCCACTTCTTGAAAGGACTACATTAAAAAAACGTTTGAAGGTTAAATCAATGGATGATTCCAGCCAGCATTAGACGAAATTTTGATCTAGGCAAGGAGAACGAAATCCATTACCATAGCTGGAAAGAACATCGTAAAATGAGTAAAATTGCAAAGTTTGGTTGCGAATTGTTGCACATGAGGAAAATATAGCTAGTGATGGGCGATACCGAGTACTTGGTATTCGATACCAGCGATACCACAAACAGCGGTATCGGTATCGATTACTGACGTGGTATCGTTCGATACTTGCACCCTTTTTTAAACGACTTGTTTAATTTCACTTCTTGGTTGAATAAGACTTAATAATGAACCACTAAAATAAGTCTTAATATTCCAAATGTGCTGCGCCAAGTCA